AGCAGTTAGTCTCAGGCGATAGTGTTTCCTGGTTTTTCATAAAACTAATGGAATTTTCAATGTATCTTACGTATTTCATCCATGTATCCACCTTCAAATCAAATTTTTACGCACTCGCTGGAAAACACCTCAAGAAAAGGAAATAGTGGTACGCAAGAAACACCCAGACATGGTCCAATTCCAGATACCAACTGAATTGCATATTGCTTGACGGCTTAGTACCTTGTGTTATCCGCCGCGCCTTTGTCACATTGCTCCATATGAATTTTATCGAATTTTAAATTTATTACAATGCTAATAATTTTTTAGAATTAAGCTTAAAGAAGTTGAAAAAAGTGATAAACACTGTATTTTATGGTATTCTACGCACGTAGTTATGTCAGCATTCCTTAATTAATCGAACTTTTGTACGTCAAGTTACTTCTTTTTAATTTTATTCATTTGGAAAATTTATTGGTTTCGTTCAGTTCCACTGCTTTATTTTATCGTCTTATTTTATTTCAGGTTGATCGATAAGACTGATTATCCTACTAAAGAGTGGATCGAAAGAGTGGTGATTTTGGGTCCACCAAGTGGCATAAAGGGCGCTAAACTCACTAGTAAAAGTAAGTATTACTGATTACCATGCCAATACTTATGCCAATGTTGTAACAAACGTCATTCATGATCGGTGTGTAAAAAAAAGTGAGAATGAGCAGTTTTCCATAAAAAAAAAGAAAACAGGTTCATATTGATGAATGTGTGCAAATGTTTTGTTTCTGTGAAACAGGGTGTTAAGTTTTCTTAAAAAAAAAACTCATATTGTTTACATCTTCCAAACGGTTTGCCCACTAATTCAGGGGCGTGGATGGTGGCATATGCAGTGATAAATATTTACATATTTTGTGTTTCAGGTTTAGGTACTGTTGAGTTAGAAACATCCTATGATGGCGAAGAGAGAACTCTTACCGTTCGCAAACCCGGCGTTTCCGTCAGAGAGCCATTTAGTATTAAACTTTATTAACTTATTGCAACTAGGAATAATAGTGCAGCAATAGGACTAGAAACGTTTTACCTCAGCGGTTCTTGAAGACATCTTGTGATTTTTTCCTGCTTTTTAGTTTTTTTTATGATACTTGTAATACGTAGATATTTTACAATTTTTAAATTAGGGATGGACGGTAAGTGGAAGGTAATTATGGAATGAAGAATAAACGTTTGATAGAAATTTTTATTTGTTTCAATATTTTTAATAATTTGATATATAAAACATTTTTCTTAAATAACTTTTTCCAAAAATCTTAGAATTTACGAAGAATCTGCCACACGAAGTTAGACAATTTTAAGTTATGCCCTCCTTTGTCAAGTACTTTGCTCAAATTGTTGCAACAGTTCATACCTATGACAATATTGGACTAGCTGGCATGATATTAACTTACGGGGAACGTTGACAAAATGCTGTATCAGCATTGCATTTGTTTGCGATTGTTTTTCTAAACAGGCCCCCTTTCATTGGGGATTTCAAAAACCAAATTAAAGAGCCAGAAACGCCTGTAAGGTATAAAAGCATCTTGGAAGACGTGTAGAAGGACTGAGGTCTAGAAATGTTCGGTCTATATACAGTAAATTCTAACTTTGTATTTTTTCGTAGCAGTACGTGAAATTAAAAGAGAAACAATTTATTAAGTAACTTTCCGGGAAACTCAAAAATTAGTCAGAAACGGCCCTATGAAGCTTAAAACAGTCGTCCTTTGTCGAGTACAATAAACTATATCGGCTAATAACGTTTTTATGGTGCCCAAATACAACAGTTTACGCTTATAATAATGAACCGGCGGACATGATATTAACTTACGGGGAGCGTTGACAAAATGCTGTATCAGCATTGCATTTGTTTGTGATAATTTTTCTAACCATACTTACCCCTTTCCTTGGGGATTTCAAGAAGTGATTTAAAGGGCTAGGAATGCCTGTAATGTATGGAAGCATCGTGAAGGACAGGTAGAAGGACTGAGATCTAGAAATGTTCAGTCTATATACGGTAATTTCTAACTTTGTATTTTTTTGTAGCAGTACGTGAAACTAAAAGAGAGAAAACAATTTAGTAAGTAATTTTTTTCCGGGAAACTGAAAAATTATTCGGAAACGGCCCTATGAAGGAACAGTCGTCCTTTTGTCGAGTACAATAAACGAAATCAGCTAATAACGTTTTTATCCTGCCCAAATACATGATCATAACAATAATAATGTGCCAGCAGACATGATACTTGACTTACGGGGAGTGTTGACAAAATGTTCCATCAGCATTGCATTTGTTCGCGATTGATATCCTAACCAAGTTTTTTTTTCCTCGGAGATTTCAATTATTCAAAGGGCTAGGAACACTGGTAAGCATTGTGGAAGACAGAAGGACTGAATTCGGTGTAGGGAACAAATTTTGGTTTTAGCACACGAAATTCAGTGACAAGCACGTGCGAGATTGCTTTTCAGGTTTCGACGAAGACAAGTGAAAGTTTGGAAAAGGAGTTATAAATATAAACAAATTTTACGAATAAAAGATTTACAGACGTCTAAAAAGTAACCGAAAATGAAAACTTTGTGCGTGGTATATTTTAAACGAATCAAGTTAAATTTTCCTGGAAAATGAATTTCTTAACTACTTTTTGCCTCTTTTAAGGAAGTGTCAAAATTTATCCACCCTATACAAGGCTTCAAAAATTCGCTAAGGTAAGTTATCTGGAAATAATATTTAAAATTAAATTACATAAGACCATATTTTTCATTAATATTGGAGAAATTGCTTTTTAACATAAAATTCTTTTGTCAACAAATACTAATTTATTACAATTGTTTTTTTTTAAATTAAGTAGTGTATTAATTTTCAAAATTAAAGTTTAAGTAAATAAGATATTTTTTTAAAAATTTCCAATCTAATATTTTCTTAGCTTAAGAAAATTTTTGTACTTTTTTCGTTCGAGTTTCTGGGGGGCGGGAAGCTGATCCCCCTGCCCCCCCCTTGCTGTGTCCCTTTAAGTTCTCTACAAATGGGTAACTTTTTTATTATCAATTTTACGAAAGAAACGTATTCTTTATAGAAAGTTCTTTTTGGAAAAAATGGCATCAAACTTGAGATTGCATATACAGGGTGGTTAAAAGTAATAAAAAAATCTTATTTGACAAGGGAGAAGTGCAATTAATTTTTATTTTAGAGAAAAATATAATGGGAAAAAACTAGTGCTGGCAACTGAAATCGGTTTTTTGGATAGTCGGTTAACCGGTTTCGGATAATTCGGATTTTTACGATTTTTATTCGGTTATTCGATTCTTCAAATATCCGATTATTCAAATAACCGATTATTCGATAATCTACTTCTTTTTTTTTTTGGAGATCGATTTCTTCGTAAACAAATTTGACTTCCAGATTTTTGTAGACCTTTTTTTTTAGACATCAATTTCTTCGGGTCTGTNTCTAGGTTTAGATTCTTAATGCCCTTTTATTTTATTTGTCCATTTAGGTACATATTTTTTTTATTTTATTATTTTATCAATTTGACGAAAAAAAGGTATTTATAAAAGTTCTACTTTTTGAAAAAATTTCATTAAATTTTTCACATTTGAGATAGCATCCACAGGGTGCCCAAAAATAAAAAGTCATGCTTATTAGAACGTGAATATGAGACTTTGTTTTCTGGCAATATTGAAACAAGACATTTTTTGAATTTTTTTTAACCTTAAAGTATTTTTGTAAGGAGTTGAAATAATCAACCTCTATGATATTTCTTAAA